CAAACATTCTACACAAGAAGGTCTAGTTGCCTGAGTGCTATTCGTCTTAAGTGCTGCATAGTCAGGTTCATAGAAAGTACCCCAGCTGCAGTGAATTCAGATCTGATACTAATCAACATGCGGGGGGGGGGGGGAGAGGGAACAAAAACAAAAACAAAAAACAAAAAACAAAAAACACAGAACTATTGGTGCCACCTCAAACAAAGCAGCAGAACCTCAGAGTTACGAACACCTTGGAAATGGAGGTCGTTTGTAACTCTGAAATGTTCATAACTCTGAGCAAAACGTTGTTCTTTCAAAAGTTTACAACTGAACATTGACTTAATACAGCTTTGAAACTTTACTATGCAGAAGAAAAATGCTGCTTTTAACCATCTTCATTTAAATGAAACAAGAACAGAAACAGTTTCCTGACGTTGTCAAATCTTTTTTTTTTTTAAACTTTCCCTTTATATTTTTAGTAGTTTACATTTAACACAGTACTGTACTGTTTTTTCCCTTTTTTGGGGGTCTCTGCTGCTACCTGATTGCATACTGCTGGTTCTAAAAACAACAATTGTGGACCAGTCAGTTTGTAACTCTGGTGTTTGTAACTCTGAGGTTCTAAAGCAGTGGCTCTCAACTTTTCCAGACTACTGTACCCTTTTCTGGAATCTAATTTGTCTTATGTACCCCTAAATTTCACCTCACTTAAAATCTACTTGATTACAAAATCAGACATAAAGCAACAAAAGCGTCACAGCACACTTACTGAAAAATTGCGTACTTTCTCATTTTTACCATATAATTATAAAATAAATCTATTGGAATATAAATACTGTACTTACATTTCAGTGTATAGTACACCTCTACCCCGATATAACGCGGCCCGATATAACACGAATTCAGCTATAACGCGGTAAAGCAGTGCTCTGGGGGGAAGAGGGGGAGTTGCACACTCTGGCAGATCAAAGCAAGTTCGATATAACACAGTTTCACCTATAACGCCGTAAGATTTCTTGGCTCCCGAGGACAGCGTTATATCAGGGTAGAGGTGTATATAGAGCAGTATAAACAAGTCATGGTCCGTATGAAATTTTAGTTTGTATTGTCTTTGCTAGCACTTTTTATGTAGCCTGTTGTAAAACTAGGCAGATATCTAGATGAGTTGATTTCAGGGGCATAGCTAGGGGGGATGCAGGGGGAGCAGCCGCTCCCCCTGAGCACATTCTCCAAAAGTGGTGCCTTAGGTGCCGATTCCCTGGGAGCACCCACGGGGAAAATTTGGTGGGTACAGAGCACCCATTGGCAGCTCCCCGCCCCGCCCCCCAGCCCCAGCTCACTTCCGCCTCCTCCCCTGAACATGCCTCCCACTCTGCTTCTCCACCCCTCCCCCCTGGCTTCCCGCGAATCAGCTGTTCGTGCAGGAAGCCGGGAGGGCACAGAAGCAAGCGGTGGCTTCGCGTTCAGGCCCAAGGAGGCGGAGGCGGAGTGGAGGTGAGCTGGGGCGGGGAGCGGTTTCCCTGTGCGCCCTCCCCCGGGTTGCCTGCTGCGGGAAGCGGAGTAACGCGGCCCCAGCCTGCTCCACTTCCCTTGCCCGGGCTCCAGTCGTGTCACGGGGGGGATTGGGGAAAGGTCCCTCCTCCCCCCCACCCCCTGCACTCATCAGCAGTGGCGGGAAGCGGAGCAATGCAGCCCCAGCCTGCTCCACTCTGCCAGCTCCCAGCTGCATCACTCCGCTTCCTGCCGTCGGTAAGTGCGGGGAGGTTGGATTAAGGTCCCCCCTCCCCTGCACTCACCGGCGGCAGGAAGCGGAGTGCCGCAGCTGGGAGATGGCGGAGTAGAGTTGGCTGGGGCCGGGCTGCTCCGCTTCCACCGCTGCAAGTGAGTGCAGGGGGGGAATCCCTTCCCCCAAACTCCCTCCCCTGAGCGACACGGCTGGGGGGGGTGAGGGAACCGGAGTGGGCTGCTCCCCGTCTCCTGCTAATCCCCTGGGCCACTCTGCATTAAAACATAGATGTGCTTAGGGTTATTTTTTTAATGTAGCATTAAAAGCTGCTGCATTTTCTATGTTAAGACATAAGGTATTGCATAGTCTGCATTGATTTCCGTCCCTAAAGTCCACACTGTTGTTTGTAAGGGTATGGTTCGTTGAAGCAGTTAAGATTTACCTCTGAGTATCTCTCAGTACGTTATTCATGCCTGGGCCTACATTGTACTCTCTGTAAGTACACTGCAGCCGTGCAGAGATCTACAGCTCTATACGTTGCACCCCAGGCACAGATCTGTAGATGCAGCCTCCAATGGTCAAGAACGTCTAGCTCTGTCTTGCTCCCTGGAAATGTACTGCTTTGACGTGCGTTGTCACTTTCCCGGGTGTCACATTTGCCTGGATGTTTGGGGAGTGGGGGAAGTTTGGATGCAAGTTCCGTCCGTACTTTTCACAAAGTTGCTCAAGCCCTTAGGGCAGCAAAGTTGCCTCTGTGTTATTTTTTTAACATGATTATTTCAAATGCCTTTCCCCTCTACATACTCCCTCCCTCCCCATTGCATTGCGCTGGATCTCTGGAGTTTAAGCTTGTGTGCTGACACCCAGCCCTAGACTTGCCCTCCACTCCGGACAGTCTCTTCCCTTCACAGCTGCTGCTCTACCTCCTGCTGCTCCAGCTACACTTTACTGCTCAGGACTTTGGGCAACTTTTCTTCCCAGCCTCTTCTCCCTCCCTCTATACCTCCTCAGGCAAAGGATTGCACTTTTGCTGCTCCAGATCCGGTGCTGGCATTTTTCATATTTATTTTCACTATTAAAAGGCATAAAGCTTCTGGGTCTTGGAGGTAATTCGGTGGCGTGTCCTTCTTTCTTCTGCGGCAAGACTTGGGTTTTTCTTTTTTTTTTTCCTTCGTGGTGGATGGCGCCTTTTTTATGTGTTTGCTCCCTCTGCTGTTAAAACCTGGCTACGCCACTAGTTGATTTACCCCCTGGAGGACCTCTGCATACCCCCGAGGGCTCACATACCCCTGGTTGAGAACCACTGTTCTACAGAATATACATGAGGGGAGAGAAACTGTGAAGTCATGGTTTCATTGAAGTCAATGGGAGTTTTACCACTGACTTCAGCAGAGTGAGGATTTTGCCCTGCGTGTAGACATATATAATTTTCAGCCTATAACAAACTAGGCTAAACACATAAGAGTTATGTTAAAGCAATATTAAGGGTACTTATTAACAAAAGCAGGAATAGCCAAACACTGGGGAATCTTACTTAGCTTATATTTCCAAACACAAGTGGAACATAAAGGCGCTAAAGCTCATACACAGAGAAGGAAAATCTGGCTGTTGTCAAAGTTCTCATGCTTTTAAGCAGCACTGAACCCTCATACTCTGATTTACGTTTTGCACTACCACTCAGTAACAATGGAACTAAATTTTATCTCTGGGCTATTTCCCCCTGGGGTAAAGCACCTTGTGGGAGTCTACAATGACCTCTAAGGATGACTCAAACACTTTTGAAAAGAAGTCCTCGTGGCTGGGAAATGATATCATAAAACTGTCCCTCCCACACAACCCCCCTCCACAAATATTTATTTAGACTTCATTCCCCAGTTTTTATTTGTAATTTATCAAACAGGAAGCAATGGTTCCACAACAGTTAAACACCTTATATATTTTGCTACACATACATATTTTGCAAACGCTTATTTACTTTTCCTACAAACATGCATGAGAAATAAGATGCAAGTCAATGTAGGACACACGCCAAACATCATCTAAAACAGAGGCAATCAATAATCACTCAATACAAAACACAACGCTCTAAAGCAGTAATAGCAGGGTTTTCACAAAACAACAACTAGGGAGTCACAGTCTTCTGGAAGACAGGACTTTTCGGAACACTGTTTTAATGTACAGAAATTAAAGTGCACAGATGGTAATTTAATTCATATACACTGCAGATGGCAGTGTTTGTACAGTAACCTTCCCTGGCAGCGGGAAGGGGGACGCTTATAATATTTGTGGGGATGGTGTGGTCCAGAGCCGGGGAAATGCAGGAAAGATGGACTGCAGTTTCATTTCAGATAAATACAGATAGTCCTTGCCTACAGAGATCATTACAGAGCTCCAGGCCATCAAAGGACTGGTAAAATTGACTGCTGGCATTTTTATTGTTCCTCAACCTAACACTGTAATTTTCTGAAGTAAGTGTTCATCACCACTATCCATTATTTTTCCTACTTAAAATTACTTTGAAGCCTCTGATCTTCAGGCAGTTGTTCCATTTTGAATGAAAATGTAATTATTTTTGTAATCTGAATACACATCTCATGCTGTCTCCAATGTTTCTCCCCTTACAGAATAAATACATAGTGAAAATAAGAAGACATGGTACGTGATAAATTAATGATGAATAAAAAGAAGGTAACCAGATGTCCTACATATCCTCTCTCATACTCCAAGGACAAGGGGAAAGTTAATGAAAAGGGAAGACAACACATTTATAACATACAAAAAGAAACTTTTTTTTCCCCACAGTGCATAATTAATCGATAGCCCCAGTGAAGTCCTGTGGCAGTGAATACTAAGAAATGACTGGGAATCAAAAGAGGAATAGATATGTGGATGGATAATGACAACATATACAGGATACTCATTTTATAAACCAGTAGCACTGCATGGATCCAACATGGATCATCTTGCAGGAGTGGGGCCATAACCCCTCATCCTTCAGAGCATAAAACAACCCCTAGTTGAGGGGGTTTAGGAAGACTCTTCCCCTTTGGGAAAATTATATCCTTCCTCTGAAGCATTTGGTATTGGTCACTCTCGGAGACAGAATACTGATCTATTTGAACCACTGGTCCAATTGCTATAGCAATTCCTATGTACATACCGTCTGCTCCTTGTCAGTATAGACTTTAATTTGAATGATAGACATGAAGAATATTTTTGCTCTACACATATTGAGGCACCACTCTGATACCCTTCTTGTGGCTGTGCAATAGGAAGCTAATAAATAACGTACCTTTACATAAAGCTGCTGAAATTCGTCAAGGTTCAGTCTACCACTAGGACAGTCCTTTAGAAATCCTTTGTACCACTGTTTGAGTTCATGTTCGTTAAACTCCGTGCTCTTCACCAGATCCTCCATCACTTCAGGGGCCAGTTTGCTATTCTGTTTCCCCATTCTGCCTTAAGAAAAGCAAATTAATACAATTAGCCAAGTTGCTGTGATCGTTTTAAAACTTGATTAGCAACCAAGCTGGAGTATGCTACTGACAGCCTTGTTTTGTGCTCACTGATGCTTTCAGCCAAGCCTGCCCCATGTTCCCCCTGATTATTTGGATGCTAAACTATATTTAAATAACAGTTAGGCTGAATTCGAGAAAAACTAAGAATTAAACTAAGAACTTTCAATTAAAGCTCTTAAGTCCTGCAGAGAGACTGCTGAGTTTGCTTTCAAAATAAATGAGAATTTGCTTACTCTTTTTATCTTTAATAATCATTTAATACAAGGATTCCACCCTTTTTCTTTTCTTTTTGAGAGGACTAACAGGTTCTTCCTACCAGTGGTTACCATCATATTAAAAAGTGACCTTTCTTTTAGTAATCTTGATAAAGTGGTTCCTAACCGTTTCTTGGGTATTCAATTCTGAGAGAATGTTCCTTAGGCTGACGTTGTTATTAGTCAATATTATGCTGGGTTGGAAAGGATCTTGTGATCTTTCCATTGCATTTTAATTCAGACATTTCACAGATTCATAGATATGATATTATTCACAGGTTTCTCTTTAATCTTACCTTAAACCCCTCCACCGATGCCAGTTCAATGATTGACAGACTCTTTACAATTTATGGCCCCAATCCTGCAAAGGCTTCCACATATGATTAACATTACATTTGTAAGCCGTCCCATTGATGTACATGGGACTTCCCATATGCATGAAGTTAATCACAGGTGGAAATCTTTGCAGGATCAGGGCCTGTAATACACCTCAGTCTTGAAATATGAAGTGTTCTACAGCATTGGTTCCCAAACTAGTGCCGCCGCTTGTTCCGGGAAAGCCCCTGGCGGGCCGGGCCAGTTTGTTTACCTGCCGTGTCCACAGGTTCAGTTGATCGCGGTTCCCATTGGCTGCAGTTCAGGGCTGGCTTTAGGACCTGCGGGGCCCGATTCCAAGGTCCGGGTCTTCGGCAGCACTTCGGTGGTGGGGGGTCCGCTCCGCGTCTTCCGTGGCACAGAAGGACCCCCGCTGCCAAAATGTCACCAAAGACCCCAGAGCGGACCCCCACCCCGCTGCTGAAATACCACCGGAGTGGACCGCCGCCGGGTGAGCCTAAGGCGCGGGGCCCTCTTAAGCGTGGGCGCGGGGCCCTCTTACCCACAGGGCCCAATTCTGGGGAATCGGCCTAAAGTTGGCCCTGCTTCAGTTCGCCGCTCCAGGCCAATGGGGGCTGCAGGAAGCAGCACGGGCCGAGGGATGTGCTGGCCATCCTTCCTGCAGCCCCCATTGGACTGGAGCGGCGAACCGCAGCCAGTGGGAGCCGCGATTGGCTGAACCTGCGGACGCGACAGGTAAACAAACCGGCCTGGCCCGCCAGGGGCTTTCCCGGAACAAGCGGCGACCCCAATTTGAGAACCACTGTTCTACAGTATATTAGTGGGACTACATTTTTCTTTGATAATTTTAGGTCTTTTTTTATTATATCCACATTGACTAGTACAAATAATTCTCCCTCCCGCCCCCCCCCCCCACATCTCATTTTTTACTTTCTTACTAATTTTTTTTAGATAATCACATTTTATCCCAATGTGCATTTTTGCAGTAATAAAGACAGTGGATGGACAGTGTTGCCATTTCCTATCCTAGGCTCTTAGGGCCTGATCTTGCAAGCCCAGCTCACCTGAGAAATCCTCACTCACATAAGTAATCCCATTGTATGAAGGGGTGAAGCCCTTACAGAACCAGGACTGAGGAAAAGAGTTGTTAGCTATCCAAACTGTGAGAGATGGGGAGGGGCTTCTCTGCAAAGGGTTCTGGGTAGGGAAGCCCTCATTAAAACCCCTGGCTCCCTCCAAGCTACAGAGTCAGAATTAAAGGGTTGATGAGGAAGAGTCACCTGGAGCAATGGTTCTCAACCTGGGGCCTGGGGCCCCATAGGGGGCCTTGAGCAGGTTTCAGGGGTGCCTCCAAGCAGGGCCAGCATTAGACTCGTTGGGGCCCAGGGCAGAAAGCCGAAACCCCACCGTCTGGGACTGAAGCCCAGGTCCCTGAGCCCCACCACCCAGGGCTGAAGATGAAGCCTGAGCAATGTAGCTTTGTGGGAGCCCCTGTGGCGTGGGGTCCCAGGCAATTGCCCTGCTTGCTACTCACTAACAGAAGTTCTGGCTTTTATATGCAGAAAACCAGTTATTGTGGCACAAGTGGGCCGTGGAGTTTTTAAAAGCATATTGAGGGGGGCCTCAGAAAGAAAAAGGTTGAGAACCTCTGACCTGGAGGAACCTGGGCCTGCAATAAGGCATATGGAGTGCTTTGAATGGGTAAATGGACTGACACTATCTTATGGAAAGACATTCTTTGTTGTTCTTTTGGGGGGTTTTATTTAAAATATTTGTTGGTACTTTTACTAATATCCCCTGGACTGTGTCATGCTGATTTTAGAAACCTTCCCTTACACTGTTAAGTCTGCCATTCCAGCTATGCATCAGCTCATCACAAAACCATATCTAGGGCTCTTTCTATATGGTGTCTTAAACATCCCTGGTATCACATTCGAGTCACCTGTCAACCTCCGGTCAGGTTCTTCACAAGCCTGCCATCCCACCCTTCACACCAACTGTAGCAGAAAGGCTGTCCAAACAAGTCAGCAGGATGCAGTTCAGAGAGGTTTAGCAAACAAAGTACCAAACTTCTTTAAAAAAAACAAAACAAAAAAACCAACCACACAACAAGGGCTACTTTTCCATAACAAAATGTCAGTCCATTTACCTTTACTCCATATGTCTCACAACTGGCGGAGATGACCCTTCCTCACCAGCTCTTCAACTCTAACTCTCTAGTTGGGAGAGAGCCAGGTGTTTTATAAAGGGCTCCTGTACCTAGAACCCTTTGCAGAGAAGTCCTTACCATCTCTCTGGGTGATTGACAGTTTGGCTGACTCTTTTTCTCACTCCTAGTTCTATAAGGGATTCACCCCATCACACACACTGAATTCAAGTTAACCTGGTTAGCTGAGCACCTCCTGAACAGTGCTCTCAACCTCCATGGACTTTCATGGGTGTGGAAGGTGCTCCTCATCTTGCAGGATCGGGTTCATATAGTCTTTCATTCACAACCTGCTCCCATCTAAGTCAATAGCAAAACTTCCCTTTGTATGCAACAGAAAACCCACTGGAAAAATATAGGGCCCGATTCTCCACTCCCCTGTGCTTAGTGTAGTCATTTACATCTGTGCAACACAGGATTAAAACACTACCATTCTGATCTGATTGCCTTTAACACCTACTGTGCCCTCCCTCTGCACAGGTGTGAATGACAACACTAAATACGAGGCCCTAATCAGGTCCCTAATGTGAAGCATTGAAGAATATACTGTGGGGAAACAATCCTGAACTGGTGGAAGCATAGACAAGTCTTTTTCATCTATTGTGCCCAAGTTAATTTGAAGTCCAGAGATTAATTTAAACCTTAAAAAGGAATAAAAACAGACAGGAAAGAAGAATAGAAGTGGAGAAATATAATCATTAAGTGCTATATAGTGAACACTCAGTAGATCGTTGACATCCAATTATTGTCAACACTTGAGATATGAGCTGTATTTATAAACAAATATGTCAGTTCTTTCAGGAATTTTTCTATTGGCCCCTTTGTCGTCTTTTATCAAAAATGTATAACATAATTTCCCTTAATCTCTCCTTGTGGGCCACATGTTCTAAATGGCAGTACTTTGGTTTCATTTTATATGATATTTTCTCCACTATTTTGCTAACAGGGTGCTCAAAATTTCATGCGGTGCTTAGTTGTGTCCAGTGCACAGAAAGAAATAATGTTTTCCCTGGACCAACACCTAGCACTTGTGTTTCTACAGTCCAGTGTAGCACCTGCCTTTGGTGGCAGCTCTGTGTTTCATATGAAAGTTCAATTTTAAATCACCTGCCAACCCTTCCCCTCCCTCCCGAAAATCTTTTTTCCCCCATGCAATATTGCTTTTAAACAAACTATTCCCCATTTTTAAACTTAGTCTCTTTCCCATCAAGTGAGCTACTTGTTACTCTTCCCATTTCCATCATTTCCCCACAGCCTGCTTTATCTGGCCAGGCACCCATAGTATTAGCCATCCCTCCTAGCTTTGCGTGGTTAGTGACTGTGACAGGTGCATCTCTTTGTGCAAGTCTACTGAGTGATACTAGACATGGCACTAAAGCCTCTGGATCTCTGCTCAATACCTCTTCCCAAGTTCTCACAGTTCTATTAATAATCTTTGTTTACAGCCCTTCCCATTCCATCATGTATCCATCTAGGGTGACCAGATGTCCTGATTTTATAGGGACAGTCCCAATATTTGTGGCTTTTTCTTATATAGGCACCTATTACCCCCACCACCATCCCAATTTTTCACACTTGTTATCTGGTCACCCTATATCCATTCCATAATAATTGTATCCAAACCAGCTTGTCCCGGGGCAAGTCATAACTGTTGGCAAGTCACGTTGCCAGGACTGTACAGGTTTCAGCAACAAGAGCATTTTGGACACCCAGAAAAAGGGACACAGTTTCAAAGGATTTACTGGGTATGAAATGAGTGCTGCAAGTATGACCATGTAAAATAGTGCAACCAATAGGACAAAGTATTATTAGCCAGGAATATCCCAAAGACTTAGGGACGAATTCTGTCCTGTGTTGCACAACCACATTATGGTGCTGCACAGACGTAACTGAAGGCACAACAGGGCTCATAGTTTCTTTAGGTATTGCCAATATCTAGCAGACAGACCTGGTAAAACATGCTCTGCATTTGCTTCCTATGTAAAAATCGTTACCATACCAAAAAAGCCCATTTTCAATCTCTTGTGTTCTTTGTGAATTATTATAATCCTCATGTGGAATAACTATCAATTTATCAATTTTGTGTAGGCAAAAAAACCTTGCTTCTACTCTCATTTAAACCAGCATAAATCACTGAAGTTACAC